TCGTTGTTTTTATTAATCCATTTCTGCATGTGGGAATGCTGGCATAGTGCTTCTGACACTTGACTGATATGTAACCTTTGTATTCTTATGTGCCTGTTCCTGTTGCATTGGTGACCCACTGGTGTTCCATACTGTTTTCTGTTTGATGCTCTTGGTCAGGAGTCCAACAACAATGCAGTGAGTATCTACAATATGTATAAACTACATCAAAAAATTTACAGACACATGACTGCAGTGGAGAAGCAAATTTAATTTATGCTAAATTTATATTAAACTTGAATCTTACATAGGAATAATCATGTGTCTGTAAATTTTTGATGGGAAAAAGTGATATATCATACAGAATGCATGTGATCTGAAGGAAATATAAGATATAGATATGCTTGCATACTAATACATAGTACAGTTGCTTTATTATTATGAGGTCTTTCTATACTCACTCAAATTCTAACCCAATGTGGTTTCTCTAGTTGAGGAAATTATTGGAGACATTGTAAAACTCTTTCCATGCTATAGTGAGCCCAAAAATCTTGACAAGTTGAAAATGCCATTAATGGATCGTGATGTTACCCTGCCAGTTGCAACTATATCAAGGAATGTTGATAATAACCTTAAGAACTCTAGGGCTAAAGCAGATTATTCCTTCCTTGTTAGTGGAGGAGCCCCAGGAATAGGTATAGATGAACTTGGTCCTAAAAATATCAATTCTATGCAAATTTGTCCCTGAATATAAAAGCTTTCTCATTAGGTAAAACGCGCTGGGGTGAAGAGCTGTTTGATTATATCCAAAATTATTGGGTCCCCCCTGCAGAATGGACTGTTGACAGCTGGCCACATTTTGAATACATTTGCCTGGACTTTGGGAATAGTATTAATCTCAAGGATCAAGATCACAATCTGGATCCAGCAGTGCTGATTGGCTTGCAGGTTGCATTCGCATACTTCATACATGGCAAATATGAGATGTCTTTTGGACAATTTCGAATGAGAGCCAGATCTTGCATTGAAATGTTCAATGTTGGTGATGTCTTCACCAGCATTCGAAGGAAGCTTTCTCTCCAAGACACACAGCATTTGTTCATATTTCTTCATATTGATGAATTTCAGATGATTGACACATGGAGCAGGAACTCTGAAAACTCAATGAACTCACTTTTTAAGAACATCATCAGTGAACTAGCACAGTTTATGCTTGGCCCTACAAAGACAACATTTGTCCAGACCTTTCTCTCAGGAACAGCACCACAAGCTGTCATTGCAACAAAGGAGGCATCCAAGGTTTCTTTTGAATTTGTCCCATGTCCACTGTTGTCAACTGCATCTATGGTTCGGATTGTGGATCATTATGCAAGGATTTTTGATGCAGAAACTTTTGAGGATGGTAATAGTAAGTACAAATGGAAACTCTGTCGACCACTTCTTTATCTTCTGGAGGACACAGGAGGATTGCCTCGGGCTCTTCAACATCTCTTAGATGTTTGCTTTCATGTTGTCAGCACTGATGGACATAAATTCTTTTGCACTATCAATGACCATCCCTATGACAAAATTTTTGAGCATACTAAGGTAAGAATTCAGCAATTGTATAACATCTACAAAGCTGTGGAGGACAATATAAATAGGCATCTTGCTTTAGAACTTGTACATCATTCCATTGAGGGAGTCACTGTCACAGTCAAGCAATGCCTAGATCCGTATGATCATCTCCGTACCATTGAGAATCTAGAAAGGGATGCACATATCATTCTCAGCAGGGACAACCACAAACCAGATCAGTTTTTCATCAAAATGCCATTCCTGTTTATTTGCCTTTACAATGACATTTTGCGTATTATACCAGCACCACTTGAAAAGACATTTTTTGACAACATTTATTGGCAAGAGTGGGAACTGTTTGTAGCACATCATGAGGCATTTCGCACCAATCTGTTCTATGAACATGGAATACAGACATTATGTCTGCGTGACTTGTACCATGGAGCATATGGGAAAGACTCTGTTTTGGATATTGTTGTGAAGCTAAAGAAACTAACTGTTTGCCTAGCTAATGAGCAGTTCCCATCTTCAAAGTTAACAAACAGGGCCAACAACCAAACCATTGAGTGGGAAGATTAAGATGGAAGTGTTGTCATTGTCAATGGTGTGTCAGCTCAATTTGGAGATTCATTTGTTGTTAGGGAAACTAATGATGGCACTGTACTTCTAATGGTTGCACAAGACAAATGGATGCATAGTGCAGGGACATACAAACTACACCAGGTCTTTGAAGAAATCATCAAGAATATCAAAGGCATTCTATACTCCCCTGAAAACATTCTTTATCACCTTGTTCAATATCATCTGATCACAGTATTTTTCATTACACAACCATATGAAGGTGATCCTGGAGAATTGCCAGATGATTGTCTCCTTATTGCAAGAGACAATTTTGAAAAATATTTTGGTTCTGTTTTTTCAGCACGTGCTGCCTTTGCATTTTCCCAAAGTCTCAACCCTAATTTTGCAGAGCCAAGAAGGATGAGCACAGTTCTTCCTGGTATTGGTGAACAAACTGCCAGAAGTATTATTTCAAAACGCCCATATTATAATAAGGAGGACTTCTACAAAAAGAATTCAAGGATTAGAAAAGAATCTGCAGAACTCAGTTTTTATCCATTCGATTTAGAATAAGAATAATATGCACAAGCCTATACAAAGTTTCAAAATCATAATTCGTTTTTGATTAGTGAGAATGTTCAACAGTTTCTACATGTTGTGTAATCCAAGGCCTTTATCTTACAGCTAAGAACTGTCTAATGCTAATATGTGGTATTAGTATGAATAAAGCATTATAAAATAAAAGTACATGAACTCACAAGATGATAAAAATTAATATATACAGTATTAATATGTGCTTATTAGTATGATAAAATGAGCATTAAAATTAACAAGTCCATAAATCATGAATGAGCACCATTTACCATTTTCACATCATCATTCACCCTGGTCAATTTTACAGTCACATCATAATCAGCC